ACGCCTCTCAGTATACAGAAAATCTCTCGACAGTGGTTCAGGGGATCAATATAAAATATATACGTATAGGGCGCGCGCCCCCCGAGCGCGCGCGCGACAGCCAAACGACTGTTATGTATCGAGTAGTCAATCGCAGAGAAATTTTCTTCTTTTAACGCAGCGAACATGCTTTGTAAATAAGTTGACCTTCTATCGCATTATTATTGGACGAAGACTCTGAAGGAAGAAGAAAAAAAAGAATAAATTTTAATCTCGTTAGCGAAAAGCGTGACAACGTATACTCTTTGCATTTCTTTAAACGCGAAGTCGTTTATTTTTATGAAAATTAATCAGGAAAATGCAATAGAAGGTTAATGACTGAATATATTTTCTGGACTGAGTTCTCGTTTTGATTGAGCATAGTATCGAAACGTTAAGTTTCACATTTCGTTTGTTAGTTAACGTCGAAGTTTGCGTTATCCGCGACGAAGATGAAGGAAAGAAAAAATTTTGCCTAAAGTATAATTATATTGGCACTGATTATATTCGCAAAATTCTCTCCGAGAGAATCTTTGTTTTCGAGAGAAAGTTCTCCCACTGCCGCACTGCTACTATATTGAACTCTGCTTTTCACAGCGAAACAAAGAGGACGCCAGTATAAACTTGCAGAAAGCAATTAAAATCTTAACGATTAAAATCTTTCTCTTTGAAAAAAATTAATTAGGAATATTCTCTCTATGGCGTAAGCGAACTTTTTTCTTTTTTCTTTTAATAAAAACCAGTGCCAAATATTTTATGATAATTGGAAAACATTAAAAAACTCGAAGATTCTTTTCAAAACTCTGCTGTGCAAAATGTAAATACGAGTGCAATGTTGATTGTTAGCTAAGAACACGATGTCTACACGTGTCTTGGGACGACAAATTTGGGCGGGATGGTTTTGGCAACCAGTATTCAAGGAGCAGATCGTGTTCGCCATATTATACTTACTCACAGGACTCGGTCGTCCGTTGAGAATATCCTGTCGCATACGCCGAATACTTGCATAAAATACTCGGCTTTAAACGCGAAATCTATATCAAAATGGACCGTGTATCGAATCGAGACGAGCCATTATCTCATTGTAAAAAAAAAAAACAAAAATGGTTGCAAATTCCATCGTAAGCATTGTGTTCCAACAAGAATCCTTCTCAGCGTCAAAAACGTTCTCACAAGACTGTCGATTTTTTAATAACGAATATATTTGTATGCGAAATGTTCCCAACGAGATCACGAAATGTGTTAATTTTACGTCCACGTAAACGTTCTCGTAAAAAAAAAAAAAAAAAAAAAAAAAAAAAAACTATTGTTTGTCTTCCGTACGTATTCCACTAAAATTAAACGTCGTTTTTTAAACGTTTTAAAAACACACTTCGTCTCTTCCAATGGCTTGTCAGATCAGCAGCGGTTGAAACAAAACAAAAAAATGCCAATTGTCGTTGATATGAGAAATCAAAGACTCTCGATGATGGATCGCACACACGTTCCAATGTTATATAAAATACCACGAGCTCGCTCATCTTCCGTTTCCGGTTTGCAAAGACGACGTTGCTCGCGTGTCAACTGACTTTCGCTTCAATTTGTGAACGTACGAAAATTAACACGACGTCCGCGTAGTAGGTGCAAAGTGACGCTTCGTCACCACCGAGAGTGTATCTCTTGGATCTTATTTTTTTTTTCTTGCTCGCAATTTGTTTATTTTACATATTAAAAAAGAGCCCACAATCGGAAGTCTATTAAAAAAAAAAACGAAGTTGACTGAAGGAAAATTCTCTCGTTGTTGTTTTTTCACAGATTTTATTCAGCGAGTTCTCTCTAGCGTGTTTGAAAAATTGCAATCTCTCCAAGAGCACGAAACTTTTTCAACTACACGATATTGGTTATCTATTTTTAAGTTTTTTTTTTTTACAATGTCTCGACATTGAAACGTCGCTTTTTTTGTTTTTATCGTATCCTTCGCCATTTCCAGAACCAAGGGTGCACACGGCGGTGGCGCGGAGTGCGCTCTTGTACACGCGCGCGCGCACACACGCACACACACGCACGTATGTGCATGCATGCAAACAATGTAATAATTGCGTATAATTAGAAATTCGATTTAACGGTCGGAATGAGTGGCGGTAAACGAGTTAATTAATTAGAGCAGAATACGCCATGACGAGTATACGTCGAAGTGTCCGTCGTGTGTTGGCGTGAACGCTCCTCCCCCGTTTGTAATTTGTGTAACACTTTTTGATCGTTTATCGATATACCGTACTTGTTAAACGCTATATATATAAATAAATAAAATACAAAAAAATATATATATACATAAAAAAAAATATATATATATATATATATATGTTTCACGCGCGGCGATTCCCCCCGGTGAAAATTTGAGATGCGCCGTCGATTGTGAGGGAAAAAAAACAAAAAATCGTCGTAATTGTGTTCGAAAACAATTAATATTATCACAGGCTGTCGGTGGTGTAGGAAACGTGGGGGAATTGCCAGCGTCCCGAAGGACGAGAGAAAAAAAAAACGGTATTCCAAGCGTAGGGAATCTATTGTACATTGATTATTGATACATTAATTATGACAACAATAAATTATATACAAACTCAACTATCCGAATCTTGCGTCAGTGATAATGATTCCGATTTAGTTTCTGGACCGACAAGATATTACACCGTCCGTTCGTTTCTTTCCTCTCTTCTTTTCTTTGGTTGGTTTTAGACTGATGTTTTAATTTTCCGAGTTCCGAGCTCCGGAACTCTTTTTCTCCACGCGTCTCGTTTTTTTTTTTTTTTTTTGTTTCTTTTTTCATTACAAACCCATTAATTTCCACACGTGAAGAACAAAGTCCACGGATTTTTCCTTCTCTCCCGTGTGTGCGCAATGTGTGCCGTTCTTTTGTTTTTTTTTTTTTTTTTTTTTTTTTTGTCTCTTTCTCTCTGTCTTCTCCTTGGTTTTTTCGTTCTTCATACCGAAATCTCTTTATATCGCATTGCCGGATTCGTCGCTCGACCGGGATGACAAATATGATGTGTGAGTAAATCCCTCTCGGAATGCCTCTAATGTTGTATCTTAATTGTGGATTATTTTTTGGTTTCTTCAATCGTTGTTTCTCCACAATTTGTTCGCTCGAGCAGCATGGATTATATTGCCGCTTGCAAGACCGAATCTGAGTTTCTGTCGCATTTGCATCGAGCGGCCCAATGTGCCGTCGCATGTTGCCGCTGTTTGTCTTGATTTCACAGTTGAGATATAATCCGATTTAATTTTTACAATACAAAAGAGAAGAAAATGTGCACACATATTTTTACTTTAATTCTGAAAGAATGCAAGCGTATTGCTTATATTATTTAAAGAGTGAAAAATACGACCTTGCCGTTGCGCAAGGCTGTCGCGATAATATCGCTATTAATTGACACCCAAGGCTGGGTATGGGAGTCAAGGTGTTCTCATGCAAATGCGTCATCAGCTCACACTCGTCTTTGAATAATGTCAGTGTCATTAGCTGATGCGAAATCTTAGGTAAAAAAAAAAACAACATACAGCTTGTAGTATATTACACCGCATAACGGACTTGTAATTTTGTTGTAATTTTGTTGTACGTCTTCGAATTCGCGACTCGCTGTTTTATACATATAGACTCCGTCCGTCGCGCGGACACGATTATTAAGTTTCGCATGCGATTCGCCTTCTTAAGAAGCTGCAGTATGCACGTAGGTTCTTATCGTTAAATTTAGTTTGTTTTATTTATTGCTTTGTAACTTTGATTAATCCGCTTATTCCGTAGAACCTAGCGCGTTATAGTAAACTTGCTTAGGCATGAATTTTTTTCGTAAAACATATCGCACATTGATTTTTGTTGGTTACAGAATCGTATTGTTGTTGATTCGATATTAATTTTGCACACCTGTATGATAGTCCTTGTACAGTTTGTTGCAGGAATGTTCTTCTCTCTATCTAGAGTAGCTGTAATATTTTTGGCATCAATTCCGATCGCGCGAAATGTCGCTTTTCGATTGTCGTTTTCCACACGGCAAAAGACGACAAACTTTCGATCTCGAATCGAATTCCAAAAAAGTACAGCTACCCGGTACTGGGAAATTGCAGGATTTAACAATCACTCGTTGTTTTTGTCTGTCTCTTCCTTTTTTTTTTTTTTTTTCTAAAGAAAAAGAGAAGAAGAAGACAGTTTGAAGTATTTTACAAGTAATTGTTAATCTCCCATTGCTGTTTCCGAGTCATAAAGTTGCATCAATTTTGGACAAATCGATATCTCCCGACCATAATATTGATCACCGTCCGAAAAATCGATGCAGCTTTTAGAAAGTGTCTTTGTTATAATCATCGCAAAAAAAAATCAATTATTTTCACTCTCGAGTTGGAGAAATGTGAAACATGACATGCCTTTATTTTAATACAGTCGCAATATTTATATATAAATCTGTTAAAATAGCTGATTGTTGCTACGATACAAGAAAAAACTCGGAGTAAAAACTTTAAACGACGAAGATGTTAACCGGAAAAGAAGTCGTCTAAAAATTTCGCTTCCGCTCTGAACAAAATTTTACATTCGATATATTGAAAATCAAATCTCCTCGCGCGCATACCGTAGGTTTACAAGTAGTGTAGATTTTATTTCACACTGTGACATATTACACACAAATAGCATCGCGATGTCATCTCAAACGAGAAAACCCTTTCCCTTTGTCGTATTTCAGCATTTGTTAGAGAAATTTACAATTTACGCGCAGAGAGGGAAAATTCAAACCTTTTGATAGAAGTTCATAACGAAATGAAGGGGAAAGGACAATAGTTGCACCGTAGCATGCGTGTCTACGTCAGTGCTTAACACTTCCTCTGATCACTCATTGACACGTACACACACACAAACACACACTGATTTTTGGTTACTTCTATTTCTCTCACTTTTTCGTGTTAGCTCAAAATCCGTATACGTTCGACGTTGTCTGACCGAGATTCACTTGCAGATGTCGAAGCCGAAAAGCAGGAGACGCCCGATCAACGGGACAATAATAATTCCGTGTATAGCGCCGAGAAGGATAGACAAGCGACGAATGGCGAGGTCGAGGTGAACAACGCGAGCGTCGTGAACTCGCCGGATCTCAGTCCGGTGAAGAATCTGCGAAACGGAGAAGAAACGGAGATTAGAAAAACAAAGGTCGGGGTTGTTTCCTTGCATCGCGATAGAAAATGAATGGTCGTCTCGCGTCTGTCACTAAAATTTCTTATTTTTTTTTGTTTTTATTTCAGAGATGGCCGACCGACAAGGCCTATTACATAGCCAAGGAGCTTCTCATGACAGAACGAACGTATAAAAAAGACTTGGACGTTATTAATATGGTAAGTGAAAGAAAAGTCCCAGAAAAGCTCAAGAAACAAAGAGAAACATTCTGTCTTAAATCGCACTTGTTCAATTTATGCGCAGTGGTTTCGTGAAGAAATCTCTAGAGAAGCGGAATTAGAAGGAGAGTCGATAGTCTCTTTGATCGAGCTACTTGCTGACGCGCACGGTCCTTGTCTTCAAGAAATGGAAGCGCGATTGGCACGTTGGGAGAGCAATGCTCGTCACAATATCGGCGATTTCTTGTACAACACGTTCTTGAACGTGTTACCTCTCTACGACCAGTACCTGGAAAATCTGATTCCGGTGTTGGAGAAAATGGAATATTCCACGCGAACGTCGAAACGATTCGATCAGCTCTGTCGAGACTTTGAGTCGCAGAAGCACTGTTATTTGCCGTTAACTTCCTTCCTGTTAAAACCTTTGCAACGTTTGTTGCACTACAACAGTATTATCGACCGTGAGTAGACTCGCATCGATTTATTTGTCAGATTTTCAAATAAAACACTTTTTAAAACTTTTTAAACTATGTTTTTTTTTTTTTTTAAGGATTATTGGATCATTATCCGAAGGATCATACTGATTTTGAGGATTGCTTGGCAGCGAGAGATAGACTCGGCGAAACGTTACTTGAGGGACTCACAATCATAAATCAAGCGGTGAGAAAAATGTGTTTCGTTGTTTTTTTTAATAAATAAAAAAATAATTGAGATACAAATTTATTCTGCTATAAAAATTATGTTGACTGTAATTTATTTTTTAATTTGTCTTTTTATTATTTCAGGAGAACTTTGTGCAATTGTGTGAAATGCAGAGAGACATCGCTGGCTTCGAGAATCTGGTGCAGGAAGGTCGAAGATTTATCAGACACGGATGTCTGCAGAAGTACAGTCGAAAAGGTTTTCAACAACGTATGTTCTTCTTGGTGAGTCTTCTGTGCGTACTTTTTTTATTAATTAGCGTAACAATTTAACGTAATAATAATGCGTATTGTTTCCCCAGTTCTCAGACGTGCTACTGTACACATTCCGCAACTCCCAACAACAATCTTCCATTATTCAACAACAGACGCAATGTTTTCGCGTACACGGGCTGTTGCCGTTGAAAGGAATGAGGATTCAAGAAGCGGACAATAAAACCGGGATGGATTTTGCTTTTATTATCGACGGACAAGCGAATCAGTGAGTAATTGCCATTTTATGATTTCAACAGCGTCAATATTCGAAATTAATTCTTTGTTTTACTCGAAATTTGTTTTCAAACCACTTTTTGCAGAACATTAACAGTCGCAGCTAGCAACGAAGAAGAGAAAGAAAGGTGGTTGGAAGATTTGAATATGGCTATAGTGCAAGCCGACGCGTTGGACGCAAAAGTGCCGTATTTGAGTTTAAAGTCATGCAGTAAGTATTTGTTTAATATTATAACGAGAAGATTTTTATAAAGTGCGAGAAAGGGATTTTTTGTGTTTTTTACATAAAAGTTTTAGGTTCGGCTGACGAAGTGGGAGACGGAATGGGATTAGAAGTGGATCGGACAAGTTGCGGAGGTGTAAAAGCCTCACAGCGCAGCAATACCACGGTTCATGTCTGTTGGCATCGCAATACAAGTATTAGCTACAGCGATCAATTACGAGCGTTTCAGGTGTGTTGAAAGTTTTGATGATATTCGTGTCTTTGTCTTTTTGTCATTTGTAAATATCATATTTGCTTATTCGTAATTTTTGTTGCGTGCACGCTGCTGTTTCAGAACCAACTCAGCGGATTTCTTCTACGGAAATTCAAGAACAGCAACGGTTGGCAAAAACTTTGGGTTGTATTCACCAACTTCTGTTTGTTCTTTTACAAGTCTCATCAAGATGATTTTCCGTTGGCCAGTTTACCATTGTTAGGGTACACTGTGTCCACACCGTCGGAAAAAGATGGGATCAACAAAGATTTTGTGTTCAAGTTGCAATTCAAGAATCACGTATATTTCTTCCGAGCAGAAAGTGATTATACTTTCGGAAGGTAAATGTCTACTTGAAATGTTGTCTTTATAAAATTTATAAAATTGTTTTATGTTCCATATTTACTGACCATTTACATTAAGTTTTATTGTTAAAGATAATGTACTTATTTATATAGATGGATTGAAGTCATCCGAAGTGCAACTCAACAGAGTCACGTGCCGGTCAACGTGAATGGAAAAGGGGAATATTAGAATTTGAAAAGGCATGCGCATGATTAAAGAGACGATTGTTAAGAATCAAATTTTTCATTAAGAAACTAGACGAGTAATATAATTAGAAGAGTAACGGGAGAAAAAAAAAAGGTAAAAAAAAAACATATCTGGCCTTATATATGTATAAAATTGAAAAAATCAAAATTTAAAGATATTATATTTAAAAAATTATATATTTACAAATTGATTAATTTTCTAGTCGGAACCTTCAACATAAGCATTTATTTGCAATTGAGATTTTTAGTCGTAATTTACACAATATTATAGTTTTGGACGTAGAGCATCTTTTTAGAGAGCTTTTAAATTTTTTGAAGAACAAAATTATAAATTATACTCAAATAAAACAAGTATAATGTATTCTAAGAGAATAAGATTAGAGATAGTACAAGAAATTTATTTGCAAACGAGAAAATATTTTATGTACAAATTACCGCATGTTTTATTAGATGCGTTTCATTATGCTTTTGATATCATTTAATAAATAAGTGATATACAAATAAATGAAAAGAGAATCTCAACGTGATTATGCCTCAAGTTGATCGAGAATTATGCTTAAAATCTATACATATATATATAACTATACAAATATGTAAATATATACTTTCCACGTATATCGCATTTAAAGAAAAAATGGTTTTAACAAACCTTTTCTTCATGTCCTGTTCTCTGTGTTGTGTGATAATTGCGTTACATGATTTTTACGATCGATCAACATATTATTACAACGAATATATTATTATATTTATATTTTTGGACATATATATTTATAAACATTGTTGCGCAATTATTATTCAACATGAAACAGATATATAATACAATGTTAAAAATTACATTTAAATATGTTTAGTAATAAAATTTTTTAATACTTTCGAGGCGAAACTGTTTTAACAAGAAATGTAGAAGCGGTAAAAGATGTTAAATATGTTTGTGTGTTGTACGGGGGCGAGTAAACAGACTCTTCAATGACAGTCACAAAAACTTTATTTATACATATATTAATATTTTAATGGCGTGGACCAATTTTATACATAATCGAGCCTGTTTTATATTAATTATGATTGTCTCCTCGATAAGAAGATAATAATTTTTTTTTTTTTTTTTTTTTTTGTTAACGTTTTCTGCTTTTGTACGATTTAATTTGTATTTGTAAGATATATATATATACAACAGAAAAGTTGCATATAGTCATTTATAAGAGAAGATAATCTTACAACTTTCAATAAAATGGTGCCACTGGTGTTGTTTAAAACAACCATATATGATATCTAATAATTGCAAAGAGACTGAACGAAATTCTTCTAAAATAATGGCACAAATCAAATATTTATATACATATATATATATAATAGTATGCAAAAAAAAAAACATATTTATCTTTTATTCCGAGTACAGAATTTACGCGGCCGAATAATGCAGGTTCTAATGCCAATTCTCTATATGTGTATATATATATATATATGTCTACAGAAATAAAGTTAATTCATTGAGTCTCGCGGGCCTGTTCTGTAACTTCTAACGTATGTGTTACAGGAATAACACGTGTGTTACGAATCTTTGCGCGGACAGAATGTGTCGCATAACAACTGCGTAACGTTACGTTGACGATAACGAATAATGTATTGAAATAAGTTACAGACTAAGAGTGCAGTATATTGAGATATAATTCATTTTTCAGTTAATTACATATACATATCTGCATATGTATATTCCAAATATACATTTAAATTATTTGTTGCAATTAAGATAAGTGTAGTTACAGTCTCAAGTAATGTATTATTATCACTACATACAAAATTTCGTTGAAATAAACATGTATTAATACAGAATTGACGTTCTAATACTTTTTTTTTTTTTAATTTTCTTTTATCCACAACATGTTGATTTCACTTTAAAAACTTTATCGTTGAAATATCTTCCGATGGTTTCGGAACTTCTCATAATATCACTGACTGCGATTACGTAACTAAACTCCGCTGAGTGCGTTCAAAGTTATTTTTAAAACAAAAAATTGATCATAATCCATAGATGCAAAAAATGCGAATAACGCAACTAAAAATTCTCAATAGTTTTTTTTTTACGAAGATATCAGCTAATTAGACGCAAGAACATTTGGCAATCCCGGGAGGGCTCCGCGAGTCAAAATTATCGAATGGATTAATCTTCTGGGAAATAACGTTTCCATTTTTTATCGCTTTTAAATTGTTTCCACGTTGATTAGCGGGATGTAGTCTCGGCGAATGATGATACATCATCGACGCAAGAAAAACTCCCGCATATTTATCTTTACGGTTTAGCCTTCCGATCGAAAATAAGCGGCGGCTAGTTCTGTCGCTCGTAAATCGCGTATGCGTCAAGCGTGAGAAAAGAGCCGCTCGTAATGTATGCTAAACTTATTCGTTTCTACTCGATAAGCCAGTAATGAGTTTAATGAGTTTCGCTAGATTGTTAACAAGCCGATCAACATGTACATAAACAATCCTTGGACATCATATCGTGGATCACGGCTCAATTCCGATTTAAACCGCTGATCTCGATTACAACTCAACAAAATCGGCTATTGATCGCACATTGATTCATGATTGAGCAATATGTAATTAATTCGATTTCGCTGAGCTAGTCGTTCGATTAGAAGTTGGAGTTGGTGCGCAAAACTGGCTCGACGAATAAATTAAAAATGTGACAATATTCCTGAGTCAGTGAAAAAACAAAAAAAGAAAAACAAGTAACGTAATAAAAATACAGTTAATTAGCAAATTAATTTCTAATTCCACATCCGAGTATTATCTTATTTCCATGTAAAGCAGCATTATTAGACATACGTTATCTTATTGCTGTCTCGATGCTTTTAAGATTATACGCCGCGCTGCACTGGCAATAGATGATGATTATCCGCGTAATTATTTGCAGTGATATAAAAAAAAGCGTAATAATACATAAACAAATAGTATATTACAATTCAATTACGATTTATAATAATAAACGTATTAACAAACGTATTAATAATAATAATTTATAATAATCGTTGTATTTCATTATATTGTTTTTAGCACACTTGAAATAAATTGGAAAACGACCAGGATTCGATTTTTATCTTATATCTTGGGAAGGAAAAAACGGCATGGATTTTCCGTAATTATGCGTTTCAGGATGTGTCAAAGAATATGATGAACATATATCCGTTACTTCTCTTTGGTATCAACGAAAGAGATCTTTTTTTTTCTCTCTCTCTCTCTCTCTCTCTCTCTCGATAATTGCTTGAGAAAACGAGATCGATGTTTGTTTTGCTGTCGGGCTTTATTAGTGGACGCAAATATTTGTTAGTCAACGATGTTCTTTAAAACCAGTTCTGCTTTGAGGATAATACATCTCGATCTGATCTTCCTCTCAATGTGAAAGAAACAAATCAGAGTTGAATTTATACATGTATGAATTTTTATCTGTTCTTCGCAGTAATGCATACTTTTCCGGCCATCTTTGTTGTACGTGGAAATTCCGTCGAATAAAATATCAATAGCACACATACAGATCAATGTTCATGTTTTTACATTGGCAGTCAACGGGTTATCATAGATTCTTGATATACAAGCGAGTATTGCGATTTTTTTTCAAATCAGAAGAGTGAGATTGTGGGTCATACAGATACATGCATGTTTGTTCTTGTAACTCACTTTGTGCTTAAGTATGCAATTTAATAGATCATTGCGAGAAAATTGTGAGAAGAGATTGGCCAATTGACGGAAGCCGCGAATTATCGCTCTTTACTTTTTACGTTTATACACGTCATTCTGATATTTTAAATTATTCCCATTTTTATATAACTTTCCGCAATGCTAGTGTGCGTATGTATGTATGTACTTCCCCACTCGACTATAATTCTTACAGTGTATCGAATTTCAGGAATATGTTATATTACAGCGCGCAATCTAACAATTCTTAGAAACAAGAAGATCCCGAATTTGAGGGATCGAAACGTCTAGACATTCAAATAAAATCATCATTAAACTCACGAACATCCGGTGTATATTAGCTCGTATCGGTTTTGAACTTAAAATTTTTTCTCAATTCTTAGAAAATATTTCAAGACTATATTATTTGAAAAATAATATATCTCTTGACATGATTTTAACATTGCTGTTTCTTAACAATATTTGAACGATTGTTATCTTTTAATAAATCAATTTTTTTTTCTATGTCGTTAGCAAGCAATACGACGATAACAATAACGATTATTAAACGAGAAAAGAATAACTTGGTTGCAAATACAACTATCCGTTCAACTCAGTAACACATTATGATAAAATCTCTCAAAGCGTTCCGCGATAATTGCTTGACCTTGAATCTTATTTATTATTAAGTCGTGTAATAGTCTTTCACTACAAATCACACGATAAGTGCGCATGTATGAGAGAAAGAGAGACAGAAAAAGAGAGAGGTTTACCACTATTTTCCATATTTCTTTAGAAAAAGCACGAGATTTATGAGGCGCAAATTATAATAACCTCGGTATAAATTATTTTTCTGAGGATTTTTTAATTTGTGAACACACACACTTGATAATTTTGTATTTTTCAAATTTATTTTTTTATTTTTTTATTTTTTTTTTAATATCTCTGTTTAAAGACAGTTTTATAAATCAATCTGTTTGCATGAATAAATTTATAGATTTATAAATTTATAGATTATATCATTTATATGTATAGAATCTAGAGTCTCTGTCGACTATCAGATTGCAATAAGCATGCTAATAAATTCTTAATTGGATAATATTAGTGCCTACTACCAATTACCTTGGCTACGAGTCTGGGATTTTTTGCTCCTGTTGATTCTTAATCGAATCTTCGTTGAGCGAAGCAGCGTTTTAGGAAAGAGCAGGCAGCTCCGAAGTGGGAGGCAAGATATAAAGAGACATGACAACCGCAGTTGTTCAGGATTGAAGAGCGGATACCGTCATGTGGCAGTATCGGACAATTGGCCTTTTGGCCTTAGTGTTGGTAGCATGTGTTCAAGCGAGAGGTAAATTAATTTCGTTTTATCTATCATTATTTTATGTACTTCATCATAATTATCTCATATTTCATGTTAAGATTACTTTTCTGTTATCGTATTTCTAGCTTGTTAGAAATCAAATGCGCAAAAATATAGCAGTTCGCGATTCTAAGACTTTGTTCCTGAAGAAGACGCCGATATGTTCTTTTTGTGTGTGTGATGTAAAAAATAATAAATAAAAATCTCTTGGTTTGTTGTAGAATCGCGTGCAATCGAAAAGCGTGACATCGGAGGCGGAAGATCATTCGCTTCCAGCAGCGCTAGCAGTTCGGCTAGTGCGAGCTCGTTTGGCGGTGGTGGCAGTTTCGCAAAATCCGATGCTCAAGCTGTTGGAAGTGCTTCGGCAGGTGCTCAGTCTTCAGCAGTGTCAAATGCCGGTGGATACGGAAGTGGCGCAGGTGGTGGTGGTGGTCATGGCGGTTTTGGAGGCGGTGGCCACGGTGGTTTAGGGGGTGGCAGCGGTGGTTTAGGGGGTGGTAGCGGTGGATTTGGAGGCAGTGGTGGTTTAGGGGGTGGCAGCGGCGGATTCGGTGGTGGCAGCGGCGGTGGCCATGGTGGACTTGGAGGCGGCAGTGGTGGATTCGGTGGTGGCAGCGGCGGTGGCCATGGCGGACTTGGAGGCGGCAGTGGTGGCTTTGGTGGTGGCAGTGGTGGATTCGGTGGTGGCAG